AACACGGGCAGCATAAGGCACGCTCCCTCCAGTAGTATATGCTCTAAGGGTACCATACGGATGTATATTTCGTTCAATATTCGGGCATCATTCTTTTCTCTTTACATACTGTTATGAACATATTGTATGTGTATATGCATGAAATATTACTCCCGGTCAGTTGCTATTTTCGAATTTACGGCATGCAGCAGTACGTGGAGAGGATACTCGTATAGCTAGAGAAAGACAGCAGATTGTGTGTCTGCCGCCCGAAGCGCCGAGCACACATGGACACGATCGCTCGTTAGTGCCCCCTCTACGCGCTATTATATGCTGTAAGTGTATCGAAAATAGCAACTGTGCTTCCGTAAAAATAAAAATTGCATTTTTTTGTAAAAATAATTTGCACAGATGAAATAAAACGATCGTAACAGACTTGTATAAAATTGTACGTAAACTATAAAACAGTTTGATATATTAAAATAAATTCTATTAAAGTGAGACTTTACACAGTAAAGTAACATGTTAATTGTTCGTACGGGAAACTATTCATATAAACATACTCTCTATCCGTAACTAACAAAGAGTAAATGTGTTAAGCCAGCAGTGCACGATGCTTGTTTTCGTGCTCAATTGCTTGTTGGGTGAAATACTGCGTTTTGATTGGTGCATTTCCGAAAATATATGACAATTAATTATTCTCTTCATATTCGACTATGATTGGTCAATTTCTTAAGGCTTAAAATACTTATTGTGAACCGTCACTTACATATATAGTGTTATCGCACCATGCGTTAGCCGAGGCACTATTTATCAAATAGCGTGGCTGGAAATATCGAGGGGAGCCGCGATGTTCCCCGCGTCGTAAACATGCATTTACGAGACATCGGGTTAATTGCAAATCGTGAAATTAACGCATGTTATCGACTGAACGTCCGAACGAACCGGAGGAACGGTTCGATAGCGTGGTTTTTCGTCTCCCTCGATAATCTCTCGGTTAAAACTTACCGAGAGCGTCGCCAGGACTCCCCTTGAATAGCAACGCCGTTTCTCGATGGTATATAAAGTGCACAGCAGAGCCGTTGACACCGAAGACAGCTGAATAGGTTGAGATGAGCTATAGCTGTGCGTTGAGCAATTGTGTTTTCCAGCGGTATGAGGCCGTAGAGGGGAATGGTAGACGCAATTATGTAAATCTCGGGATCCTCCTAGTCGAGAAGTCGTAAGAGAGCAAGAACCCACCGCGGCGGACCGACCGTTCGATCATGAGTACGCTTCGACGATGCATCCCGACACGGTGACCTTAACGGCGTCGGTACGTAGGAAGCGGTGTGTTGTGATCGCAAAGACAGGTGTTAATTCACGCGGCGATGCTGATAGATGTTGCGGCTTAATTTCATAGCCGAGTCTCCTCTCGGCGCATCGGCGATGCACGCGTCGCGCGTTGTCTAATGATATATCCTCCACGCTCGGGTTGTACTATGATGGGAATACTGTACGAGAAGAGGCCGCTGAAGAGGCCGCGGCTCGGCCCCCCGGACGTTTACCCGCAGGAGCCGAAACAGAAGGAAGACGAGCTCACGTCGACGAACGTGAAGCATGGCTTCCCGACCATGCCCCAGCTCTCGCACGAGTTCGGCACAGCCAGGGATTCCATCGTCACCGCTGCCAAGGTCGGTGCATACTTCAACGCGATTCTAGCCAAGAAGGAGGAGCTGGCGACGATGCCCGACACAGGGAGGAAGAGACAGCAGATCAATCCCAAGGACAACTTCTGGCCGGTGACAGCTAGGACGAAGAATGGTATCGAGGCTTGGTTCAAGGATCTCTCCGGCTGCAAACCGCTGGTAGCTCTGGCGAAGAAAGCGCCGAATTTCAATAAGAAGGAGGAAATATTTATGATGCTCTGCGAATATCAAGTGCCGATGCTCAGGGCTGCTTGGTTTATCAAGCTCAGCTCAGCTTACACCGTCGCAGTGTCAGAAGCTAAGATAAAGAAGCGGCAGCTGCCCGATCCGACTACAGGTGATTACGTTGCAACGATGGAGTTGCAAGAGTATAGGCAATTCGATATTTCTCTTTTAGATTTCATCTTTCTAATTTAGTTAGGAAAATGCAGTGAGTCGGTTTTTAGCTTTTTGCTTTTGGAGGCTATATTCAGAAATTCTACTCGACAGAGTAGCGTTTAATTGATTAATCCGGTTTCTTTATCATGATTGGTTAATTTAATGCCACTCTGTCCATTGAGTAGGATTTCTGAACAGAGAGAGGGAAAATAAAACAGATATATAACTTAGCACCGAAGAGAAAGGGATAAGTGCGACATTAATTCAGAAAAGAACAGCGCGTGTTTGCACCTTCATTGAATTATTGTTTGATTTCACGGAATACTACTGTTTCTGCCCCCTTATCTAGAATGGACGGGTACACTCATCAAATTTTTGAAGGATCAACTGTCAAAGGTGCAGGAGTACTATCATATGGGCAATCATGTAGCTAGCGCTAACAACAATAATAGTACACCAAACAACTCCTGCAGTAGCAATGGGACTACTGGGACGAATAATAGCAACAACAACACCAATAGCAATGTCAGTAACGCAAGCAATAGTAACGGCTCCGCCAATAATCAACCAGCGACGCCGACTTCAAGCGGTCAGCCTGTGACAGGCAGCGCAATGAACGAGGAACACAAACTGGCGCTTAAGCAGTGGCATTACTGCGTGCAATTGGCCAAGTACATGTTCGAGGAGGGCTTGCTCGACCGGCAGGAGTTGCTACAGTGGATCTTAGAATTGCTAGATAAGATTAGGTCCTCCCCTTCGGAGGACGGTATACTGAAACTCCTGTTACCGCTGGCTCTGCAATATCTCGAGGAGTTCATACAGTCTGAACTGTTGGGCAGGCGTTTGGCGTATTTGTGCTGTCGTAAATTGGCGCATATGTGTAGCAATGTCGACAGCAACCCACAGAGTCCGTCCATCACGAAGAACGAGGTTAACGGCGGTAAGGAGACGGCCGTTCAAGGACCGCCGAATCCTCTGACCGTTGCTTTCAATGATTATTTGACTTGCGCCCATCACAGAGACGTGATCTACAGTTTGTCGACCATAATACAGGTGAATACATTACACATTTACTGATACCGATTCTTCTCGATAAAAGTGAGTCGAAAATACAAAGCATGAATGATCTTCAGGTAATCACACTGGAATGTCCCACGGCATTGGTGTGGAACTGCGTCGGCGAGGGGAAGGCGCCGTCGGTTTTGAACGGGTCGCCCTTGGATTATCTACCGTGTCCGCCTGCAGCGTTGCCCTGCCCGCCCGCGAGCTCCGGTAATCCGACAATGAAGCAGCTCAGGATCGCGCAGGAGAATATAAGAGGCCGGTCGCAGGCGGCGGAGGGTAGATGGTCGTGCGACAAGTGGCAGCAGAGCAGCGCCGGGATGACGACGACGAAGGTGTTAGCCGCACTGGACGCCCTGGACCGACACAGCTTCGACAAAATGGACGCCGCTAATTCGCTGGACACGTTGTACGCGAAGATCTTCGCACCACCGGCGAAGGACAGCTCGAACGAGCGCGACGCGAAGGCGGAATACAACCCGCAGCAGGACTCGGCGGTGGTGGAGATCCTGTGCGAGTGGGCTGTGAGCGCCGAACGTTGGGGCGAGCACAGAGCGATGGCGGTCGCCAAGCTTCTCGAGAAGAGGCAGAGCGAGGCCACCGGTGAGACGAACGATAACGACGACAAGGACAGTGTGTGCAGCAACGGGAGTCCGCCGGTGCTACCGATCTTCCAACCGTTGCTCATGAAATTCTTGGACGTGGACGCGCCGGTACTGGACAGCACCTCCGCTCAGCCCAAGGCTCAGTTCACGAATTTAGTCCATCTGTTTTCCGAGTTGATAAGGCACGACGTGTTCTCGCACGACGCGTACATGTGCACTCTCATCTCAAGAGGCGACCTTATACAAGGTAGGTAGAGACGATTCGGACTCGCGTTTCGCACGTCGTTTCAAGTATTCTACGGGTGTCTAATTGTGCCGCCAGGGCCGGTAGCTAGCAAACCTGGGACGCCCAGTAACAGGGAGCCGATCGACGAAGACAGTCTGTTCCCCGGTATAGATCTGAAACCGACTAAATTGGAAGTGCCGGATCACGGGCGTGCCATGGACTACGATGACAGTAAGATCGACGACGATTTAGACAAGTTGTTGCAACACATCAAAGAGGACCAACAGAACAGTATGGATGCACCGGACAGCCCCAAGGAGGACGCGTTGACTGGTCACGGTGGTCACGAGAGCCTCGATTCGAAAATGCCGTCGAGTCATAGCAGACATTTACTGTATACCACTCACTTCCCATTACCACAAGTAATTTCTCTCTCTCTCTCTCTCTCTCTCTCTTTGTTTTTATTTGTCCAAGCGATCTCAGCGTGTCGAAATAGATTGGATATAAATCGCATGCATATAACGCTGATTGATTACATATTTCTAGGACGAGACGTATAGTCAGCACGAGTGCAATCAGCGGCATGTATTACTGTACGGCGTGGGCCGCGTCAGAGACGAGGCCAGACACATCGTGAAGAAGATGACGAAGGAGGTGTGCAAGCTGTTCGGCAAGAAATTCAGCATCGACGTCGCGGAGGGCGGCAAGGTGAAGAAGCATTCCCGAAGTGAATTCAACTTCGAAGCTATCACGATGAAATTCCAAAATCTGAGCTACTTCGACCAACACGTGGTGACGTGGCAGTGCGCGACACAGGTGATCGAGATGCTGAACACATTCGCGTTGGCCGGTTCGTCTTACCTGCCGGTGCAAGAACACGTGGCCTTCCTGTTCGACCTGATGGAGCTGGCGTTGAACATATACGGCCTAATCGACGTTTGTATACAGATACTGAAGGAACTGCCGGAAGTAGAAGCGCAGTTAACAGCTAGAAATAGTCAATTAATACGCAGTTACACGACAAGTTTGAGTTTGTACGTCGTCGGCGTGTTGAGGAGATACCATTGCTGTTTACTGCGTGAGTGCATTATTCATTTCATTGAATTTCTTTATTATTATATTGATTTAATTATTAATCTTGCACGTAAATCATGTGTGAGCGATATACAATTGAGTTCTCGGTCAGGTAACTTTTGACTCAACCGGGTTGATTACAGACCGTTAACTTTCAACGAGAGGAAAAATTGACTTGCCCGATTATAGAATATCTGTAAATATCGGTCTTGAATGCGTTTCAGTGTCGCCCGAGCAGACCACAGCGGTGTTCGATTTACTGTGCAAGGTGGTGAAGCACGTCTCAAATCCGAGCGACTGCAGCTCCGCGGAGCGATGCGTGCTGGCGCACCTGTACGATCTGTACTCGTCGTGTTCCCTTCTGAAGACGAAGCCGCACGGAGTGGAGGCGTTCAGCAACGCTTATCCGAAGATCCGGACCGCTCTGTACAGCGCGTTGCAGCCGACCCCTTCCAGCCACGTTTACAACTCGCAGTTCATGGTGGACGTCTTCACCAGTCCGCGAAGGGGCGGCAAAATCGAGCCGCAATGGGCGAGGCAGCTGAACGAGACCCCGGCGAATCGTTACAGTTTCGTTTGCAACGCGATCGTCGCGGTCTGCAGCGAGACGGACAACGACAAGTTGAACGACATCGCGATTACTTGCGCCGAGCTCACCGCTTGCTGCAATGCGTTGAACGCCGAGTGGCTGGGTGTGCTGATGGCGCTTTGCTGCTCCTCCAACAGTCCCACTTTCTACATTGACGTGTTGAATCAAGTCGACGTGCAGGACTTGAGTATACACAATTCTCTGGCTGTATTCACGTCAATTCTAATCGGTAAGATGTCTCTGTGGTTTCAGATAAAAGAGAAGGGCGTACAAAGGGTGATTCAAAAGGTTATCGACAAATTGAAAGAAATCGGAATGGAGCAACTTTTTCGTGGTGATCACTGTGCAAGCCTGTATTCTCTTTTATCATTCTAAAAGCGACTTGGTTGAGAAGTCAATTTTATTAATAATAAGTAGAATAGGAAGAGGCGAATAAAAGCCGACGAATCTAACGTTCGGCAATTCTCACTGAGATGAACCTACGTCTGAACGTTAGATTCGTCAAGTCAAGGGTGAGTGAAATAATTGAAAGAAATGACTCGAGTAATTCAATAGCTCGTTACGTTCGCAGCGAGGCATTGCTTCTCGCTGGAGGACTTCGTCGTGCACATAGCGCTGCCGTCCTTGGTGAAAACCTGCAACGACGGTCGCGGGGACGTCGACACGGAGGCGGAAGCGGGCGCACGTCTGACCTGTCATCTACTGTTGAGGCTCTTCAAGACCGTCGAGTGCCCGCAGCCGGCTCTGTATTCCGTTAGCACGAGCCCCCATCCGCTGCCGAGCGGAAACTTACGGGGTTACAGCATCAAATTGAGCTGCGACAGGCACCTGTTGGCGGCGGCGCACAATAACATAAGGGTAGGCCCGGTCCTGGCGGTGCTGAAAGCAATCCTGGTCGTCGGGGACGCTACGGCTGGTAAGCAGCCGGCGAAGAAGGCCGACGTACCTCTCAGTCATTCCAGCAAAGGCGCCGGCCCCGCCAGCGTCGGGGTCGGTGTGAGCAGCAGCGGACCCGGCGAGCTCTCCATCAGCCACATCCTGGGGACCAGCGATATCTTAGGCGGCAGCGACGATCTCGGCCTCGACCTGGCCATGTCGTCGTCCAGCAGCAGCGCCGGCATGACCACGGAGAACGTCAAGGGATTCTCCGACTTCGCTCATCACGTGCTGCGGCAGATCTGCAGTCAAGAGTGGGTGCTGGAGCGGTGTCTGCAGAACCCCGAAGAGCTCTGCCACCAGGACATGCTGCTGGACACTATGCTGACGCCGCGGCAGGCCCAGAGGTTGCTGCACATGATCTGTTACCCCGAGACCGCGACCGAGGCGTTCATCGACCAGAAGACCCACATCACCAACATCCTGGAGAACCTGGAGCAGTGGAGCTTGAGGATGTCCTGGCTGGACCTGCAGCTCATGTACAAGCAGTTCACGCCGGGCTCCAGCGAGCTCTCCCAGTGGCTGGACACGGTCGCGAAGGCGGCGATCGACGTATTTCAGTTGAACAACACCTTGAGCAGCAAGCCCGCCGACAAGAAGTCCGGTTCCATATGGCTGGTGGCGCCGTTGGTCTCGAAATTGCCGAGCGCGGTGCAAGGCAGAGTCCTCAAGGTGGCCGGGCAGGTGCTGGAGTCGGGCAACTGGTCCAAGACGGCGGGACGCGAGAGGGGCAGATCGAAGTCCCCCTCGCTGTTCAACCATCAGCCGTTCCTGTCGTTAGTGCTGACGTGCCTCAAGGGCCAGGACGATCAGAGGGAGGGCTTGCTGACGTCGCTGCACTCGCAGCTCTCGCAGTTCCTCAACACCAGCAAGGAGGAGAAGCACATCGGCTCGGAGGATCCCAAGACGCGGGAGGTGCTGCAGGACGCGCTGCAGCTGAGATTCAGCCTGGTCGGCGGCGTCTTCGACACCATACAGAGGAACACGACCGCAACGACCGACTGGGCGATCCTCTTGGTCCAGCTGGTCAGCTACGGCGTCATAGACCTGAACAACAACGCCGAGCTCTTCACGACCGTGATAGACATGCTGGCGACTCTGATCCACTCGACGCTGGTGTCGGACTCGCAGTCCGAGAAGGACGAGAATAAGAAGCACTATCAGAATCTGATGAAGAAGCTGAAGAAGGAGCTGGGCGACCGGAATTCCCCGAGCATCCGCTTCGTCCGGCAACTCCTGCCGCTGCCGAAGTTGACCATGGAGGTCATCACGTGCGAGCCGGTCGGCTGTCTGACCGATACCAAAGGCAACAAGATCGCCGGGTTCGACAGCATCGATAAGAAACAGGTGCGTCCCGCGAAAGCGCTTTCCTGCCAAAAATCCTGATGACGCTTGTTATACTCGAAAAATTCCTTTTTATTGTCTCTTCCAACGTTTTCAATGCGTCTGGAAATTACGTCACAACTTTAGAGCGCAAAGGGCCGACGTGTGTGTTGACATTAATTTAACTCGACATTAGGGCCTGCAAGTGAGCGACTCGCAGAGGGTGTCAGCGTGGGAGCTGCTGGAAGGCCACAAGAATCCGGCGCCGCTCTCCTGGGCCTGGTTCAGGGCGATCAGATTGGAACGCAAACCGCTGACGTATCAGAACGCGCACAAGCTGCTGCGTTACCACACTCACAGTCAGATACGTCCGGCCAGTCATTATCTGGACCCGCCGCCGTTACCGCCGGAGGACCTGGAGCCGGACAAGAAGGAGTCTGAGCCTGGCAAGGCGGACACGCCGATGAGTATCGACTCGCCGGGGCGAGTCGGTGGTAGCGCTGGTAACGCCGGGGTGGGCAACGCTGGCACCAACGGCAAGGGGAAGGCCATGAAGAACAAGCGGCACAACAGACGCACCAAAGCCGCCACCCCCACGACGCCTATATCGCAGCAGATGCAGGTGAGTGTTGAAGTAATTTGCATTCTGACCTATTATTAGAATTCAACCCTTCGTTCGAAGCGAAGAGATTAATCGACTGGGAGGTCGCCCTGCTCAACGAGCAGAGCTTATAATTATTACCTTCCCCGCAGCAACCGCCGTCTCAGCTGCAGCAAATGGCATTCGGCAATCAGCAAGCCCCCGTCGCGCAACAGCCCGGCATGTTCACCGGACAGCCGCCGCAGCCCCAGCAGCAGTGGTACGCCAATCAGCAGGCGCACACGCCGGCGCAGCAGTACGGCTACGGTCAGCAGCTGCAACCCACGCAGGTCAGCGGGCCGCGTTACGAGAGGCCGGGCATGAACCAGTCCAAGCAGGCTCTGTCCAACATGCTGCGACTGCGATTGCCGTCCACGCAGTTCATGGGCTCGCAGCAACAGCCGAACGCCGCGCCGGTGACCGGGCCGGGCGCCTTCCAAGGTATGCAGAGGCAGCAGTTCATCAGGCAGCAGCTGCGGGCGCAGCACGGGGCGCCCGGGATGAATCCTCAGCAGGGCATGTTCGCGGCCCAGCAGCAGCAGCAGCAACAGCAGCAGCAGCAGGGAATATACACCGGGATTCAACAAGGTGCAATGTCGGCGGAAGCGATCTCAGCGCGGCGCTGCCTTCCTGAACGTTCGATCGAGCGTACTCGAGGATTTATTCGCTTTTTGTGCGCAGGCATGAATCAAAACTACGCGGGATACGGCGGACAGCAAATGATACAGCAGCAGCAGCAGCAGCAGCAACAGCAGACGCCGCAACAGGCGCAGCAGCAGCAGCAGCTGTTGCAGCAGCAGCAGCAGCAGCAACAGGGCATGCTGAATCAGCAGCAGAACATGATGTTCCCCAATCCGCAGCAAATGATGGGCCCGCAACGGGGCCAAGAGTACATGCCGCAGCAGAGAATGCAACCAGGTGCTGCGAGGCCGCCGTACTTGCAGGTGCGATATCGAATGACTAAGCTGGGAATCGACACTTTCACCTCCCATGCTTTCTTAACACGTTGACTGCCACGGAACTTTTCACGATTCTGGTCTAAGAAGCCAATTTGATTTAATCAAGTAATGAAGCGACGAGATAACTCGTAGTTGGCGTCCTGGGCAAGTAAACAACCTACGAGATATCTCTCGTAGTTGGCAGTCAACGTGTTAAATACTTTTCTGAAAAGGATTCCAATTGCTTGGGTCGTTCCTGATTAATAACAACGGAAAAATTCCTTGATTTAGGCATCTTTTTAAAGATAGAATGGTTAAATAACCTTAAAGATCTGTAATCAGTACGTAAAAATGCGAAAAATACGGAAAGATCCGACGTCACGATCATTTCTCTAGTAACTTACATTCGTGCGTGTCTATCGAAGGGTACATACCCTGTTGAAAATTTCCAGGTGGAAATACAAGGAAACTCATGTGAATTCATGTAGGAATCCACAGGGATTGTTTTATGTAGGATTTGAATTTTTGGCCCAAATCTCCAGGAACGACCATGGGACTTCACATAGATTTCCTATATAGATTCCCACCTGATTTTTTTAATAGGATATATGTTTACAAATGTATGCCTAATACGGACGGTCCCAGCTGAAAGTAGTATACTGAAAATGAAAACGGAAAAAAGGATTAAGTGGTTATGAATTTGTTACGCATGATGTAAGTTTGACTGATATTCTCCTGCTATAATGCCAAAGCTGTGCATCGTGAATCACGTTTATAATCATTTAGCCAGAGTTAATTGAAACATTGCAGTAGGTGGAAAGAATTGGTAAATTCTGGTTTTAACTGGACTTTACCAGACTTTATACAATAGAATAAACGAACAAGAACTATAAAAAGGATTAATATATAACACTAAAGTATATTTACGTAACTCTATGGAAAAAGATATTTTCGCTTTAATTAGTAAATCATATTAATTGCTATAATTTTAGGAAAAACGAAGCCAATATAATAATAAATATAATAATAGTCTTTTTTTTAATTCAAATCGACATGTGAAATACATTTTTAAAGCAAATGCTTCAGGGATATGAGTGTCATTTTATTAGTTTTTAATGAATTTTTAATGAGAAAAACAATAGTAACATACTCACGCAGATTTTTACCGATATAGCTTTGGTTCGCGTTCACGTTTATTTTCACCTTATTACATTTTTTTTACCGCTTTTAATAAAAAAGATCAGTTTTTACCAAGTTTTTTCTTTTCCGGAAAATACCGGTTTTCGCCACTGGCATATGGATTTTAGTCTGGAATTTGCCGGCCGCGCACTTTAGCCCGGATCTGTCGTGCTTCTTCGCACTGCTGTTAACCATTACCTTTCTAACAGTGTCATCAAGAACCAATCGCCAGATACGCTCAGATTAGTCAGATATGCTCTATAAGAATTGATGAGGGCACTGACGAAGATGCCTCGCGATTCTTTCAGGCGCCGAACGTAACGATGAACGCGATGGGACCAATGGGCGGAGGTGTTCAGAATCAACCGGCTCCTCCTTACCGGCAATCCGCCGGGAAACCAGGCGCGGTAGGAGTTGCCGGGGTAGGTACGACCAACGTTAGCTTGCAGCAGAATCAGCAGTTCCAGCAGGTACGTTTTCTTTTTCTTTCGAAAAGTGACAGTCTCGTCGCGTAACACGTTTGTTTTCTGCAACTTCACATCTGTGAAATATCGGCATTGACCAATCACCCATCCGCACGATGATCCCTTTGAGCAGCAGCAAGCGATCAATCAGCAACGCATCAGGCAGCAGATGCTGGCGATGCAGCAGCAGCAGCAACAGGCGGCGCAACAGCAGCAGCAGCAACAGGCGGCTCAACAGCAACAGCAGCAACAGCAGGCCGGTGCCGGCGGCCAGCAACCGACCCCTCAACTCGTCACGCATCTGCAGAGGCACCTGAGTCAACCGCCGCAACATTCCTACCAGCACCAACCGCCGCCCTATTAAGGATTAATTTGCGAAGGGAAAACTGCACTCGCTCGATGTGAAGCAACGTACACAGGGACGAGGAGGGAGATCCGGTGAATTCCAACTTTCTGGGTTGCGACCCGCGCGAGTGAGTGAGACCCAGTGCCTGTGACCTTGACAGAGCAAAAGAGAGAGAGAGAGAGAGAGAGATGCGTCTCAGGTTTCACGGCCCCATCGAACTTACTGCAATTTTTTACCAGTCAATATTTTACCGTACTACGGCGAAACCGCGCGTCTCTTCCCGATAACAACGGACGCAAAGGAACCACGGCATTCTTCGAACCGCTCGCGAAGAGACTCAAGCCGTACCTTTATACTCCGAGACTTCTTTTAGCGAAACGTTTTTGATAATTGCGATTGCCGCGGCATTTCGACCACACGAACGGCCTTCCGTCGAGGCGTTCGAAGCGAGAGAGTGGAGTAAACCTATAATTGATAAGGTCCACGTTAGATGCGACGTCATATTTATACCCTGGATAAGTAACGTTATTTTTAGCCTGGTGTTAATAGCGACGAGCGAAACGCGCTTAAATACCGTAAAATCGCTCTTAACGATTTCCCAGGCTCGCAAATGAAAGCGGACTGTCCGGCAACTCCACGAGATTCGATTTTATACAAGATGTTTTTTTTTTTTTTAATCTTGCAATTGATCAACTGATATATAATTGGGAGATATAATGTAAAGGAATTGAATTGGAATGATGCTGAAATAAAAAGAAAGAGTGCATGAATTTATTCGTTATTTAATGGTATGAGGATAAAGTAAGCCTTAGAAATTATTGATTTACACCACTTCCTAGCTTTCTCAAAGACTCGGTTAATTATATGTAGCGATTTGTACGATCGAGATCTTTTACCTAGATGCCAAAAGTCGCGTTTTAATATTTTATTGACTCGATATGCTTTCTCGTAGTGAAGCCTCATAAAGGAATCGTAGACTGTAACATATTTCCCCCCCCCCTTTCTTCTTACGTTTAGATTCCCGTAAAGTATTATTATATTATTACTATTATTATATAAATATTATTATAACATTATTTTTATCGTATACACACATAGTCCAAAGCATTGACGGATTTAGCGTAATGAACAGCATATAGTACAAGATCATGTGTACTGCAATTTGTATCGCAAAATAAATTTATTGTTACTGTTACCCGGCTATTTAAATGCTACACACCTGTATATAGGATTTTTTACATAGACGCCTCTGTACATTGGTATATCGATAGTGTACGATAGAAAAACGCAAGGTGAATGTATTTAACGAATGCACTCTGAATAAACAATTCAACCGAATCTGACGATGATTGGATCTTCCACTGGGCTTATAAACGCGCGCGCGCGCATACTAAACGGCGTTCGTAGGTAAGATAAATGTAGCATGCATCGCATTGGAATACAATCGAAAAGCGCTCGCGTGACTTCGCGCGCCTCGTCTTTTCAAGTTCGAATTAACTTGCTCTCCACGAGGCGGCCGCGTTTTTTACTCGCTCGCTCGCTGCCCACGTATATATCGCGCTGCCGCAGCCGCCAGCTCTCCCAGTTCAGGCGCGAGCTCGGTGCGAGCGGTCGCGTCGCGTTCCCCGTTACCACGCGTATCAGTCCGCGCGAGTTGCTCGCCGCGTGAAGGTTGACAAGACTGACCTGCCTGCCTGCTTGCCTACCTACCTATCTACCTACCCGCCGAACGAGCCAAAGAGCCGCGATATCAGTCGCCGTGATGAGTGTGCGCGGCAAGCAAGTGCAGAACGGTACCTATGAGTTCGATTATATGCGAGTACCCGATACCAGGACGCGCTGGGAGGTACTACGCGACGGTATCTACAATTCTCAGGAGGGAACGTACTGCGGCCATCCGCCGAAAAAATGGGGTGAGTCCTCTCGGATGTACATATGTGTATATTTCGCGCTCGGCGAACATCCTAGAACAGCCGACCGGCTGAGAGATTCCGCTCTTCTTTCTCAGACGTGGTGGTCCAGCCACCGGGGAGAAAAGGCAAAGAAGAAAAAGTAGCTTCTATATATATATATATATATATTTTGTATCGGTGTCAGTGGTGACGCGTCATGCGTTCGTTCACTTTGAGACTAGCATCGGCTATATTTCGACAATCTCTCGTTAAAATAGATATATTAAAATAGGCACGAGGTAAACAGAGCACCGTTCGGAGCACGGAGGAAATGATTCCGATACACGTGTGCGTGTATATGTGTTATGTTACTCTAAAATATAAAATAATGCTACCCAGGCCTGTGACGTTGCGCGGGTACAAAAAAGAATGTATCTTGATAAGGATGGATCTCACGTATAGAATTATGATTGTATCTGATTCCAGTTAATACTAACAGACTCCGTCTGATACCTTCTTGCGTAAGTATGTCTAATTAGAAGAAATAAATAACTTTAGACTACTATCGATATCTATCTCAGTGTGCGGAGCGTCGAGATTGCGTGCGTCATGTATTTCAGTTTCTTTTTTTCTCTTCAACCGAGTTAGACGGCTAGTCTAATATCGATGGAGCTCCGATTAACATATCGATTAGACCTTTCAGATTTAAATTTATCAAGTGGAGTGCTGATGCATTATTCAATGTTGGGACTGAGAGATCTGCAGGCTTTATTTCCGAGAATTAGAGATTGCTTATTCAAGAACATTAATTAACGCGAAACGCGTAAAAAGGACGAGGATTTCATCAACTCTCGCTACTTCTCTCTCGATTTCTTTTTCTCTTATGGGCATTATAAAATACGTTAAATTTGATGCGAAATTTTTAAATCGCTCCTTAAAGCAATTTTTCGAAGCATCAGATTATCCGTGCAAAAGTTTTCAAAACGCTAAATATTTGTGAATTAATAATACCGCGGATATGTTACCGCTCTCTGTAATTTCCTTCGATAAGGCTGCGAAGATTCCTCTTAAATACCCGAAAGCAATTTAAGAAGGGAAGAAATGAGAGGCAACAAACATTCCGAGTGGTAAACGTATTATCATATCACGACGTTATCGTTATCGTAAAAAAACTAGACGTTAGACCAATGATCGAGAGACCTCAATCGCAGTATTATTGTCATTTTATGTATTGATATATGTATTGATATGTGACGTGTCGCTCAGTCAAACCTCAACGAAACCCCGTCCATTAAGATAGAGTTTTTGTTTATCAGTGATCACGAGCAATTCAAATTTACGGATCAGTCCCCGAGGGTGTGAGCGAGTGCAGGCGACCGAATAATTAATTTAACTTTACGAATCTCGCAATGTCGAAGTCGAATCGCGTACGAGAGAGTCGTTCCGAACCGACAAAATATTCGTAAGCACGCTTCGAACGCGCAAACAGAGATAATCATTAATGAAAGTAAACCCCTTGCATAATTGTGATAAGCGATTCGTATCTTTTAAGTGGCATCCTTGGAGAATCAATTCCGAAGTAAACAGCCATGAAATATTCATACAGGCCCCTCTTGGTTCCTCTTCGTGCAGCGAGGGTGATCATTGTTGTTTCTCAACGCGCCGATTTGTATGGTAAACACAGGCCTATTAATGAATCACGCGTTAGTTAAACTTGCCGTGCGTATAGCAAACATTACATAAATTCGCGTTCGTGTTCGATTGCACAACTTTACAACGAACACTCCCTCTCCCCCATTTTTATGAAAAATTAACAATCGACAGTCCGGCGATTAATTTCAACGGTTAATTGACCGGGTGATGCAAATATTTTCTCGGCAAATTCTAGAATTCATTTCGACCGAAAAATTGCCACGTGAGCACACACCTGATTTCCCAATGGTTATCGAGATATGAGCATCTTAACACTCGAGTTGGCGTGTAAAGAGCGGTGGATTTCACGTAACTATTTATCAATCATTGGACCGAGAAAACCCGTGAAATATAGCCGCTGTCAGACAGTTGCGGAAGCGTTGCTATTGTAAATACAACGTGCGAATAAATGTCACATTTGCGTTTGTTCTCGCGGGAGAGAACGCTGCAAGTGCCAGGTTAATTTCAATACTAAATGTTAACTGTCACCGATAACGTTTCGTCAGGTCAACTGTCGAGTATTTATTCACGCCGCACGGAGAAAAAGAGTCAACACGATCTTCGTGGATTACGATGCAATTAAGATCGATCTCGTCGATGAAGATCATTCCCCTATAACAAACAATCTCCGACGACGTTTCTTTTATTCCTCGAGCATCTGCGCGTCCGCGTATACATATAGAGAATATGTAGACGCGTCTTATGTAGACTTCTTGGCGGTCGCTTAGAAGCGGTCGACCCTGAGCCTCGCGTTTTGGCAACGGCTGGCGTGAGAGAGCACCGGAAATAAGTATCGGTAATGGTAATACATAGCAAGCTGGCGCGCCACTTTTCTTCCCGGTCGTAAGACATGAATGTCAATCGCGCGCTCCGGACACAGGAGAAGAGAGAGGAACAAAGAAGACACTCCGAATCACACTTCGAAAGTTATTCGTTTTGTCACGTGGTCTCCTCGTCTCTTTAAAGCGCAGTATCGGTCCGTCCGATACGCGAGCTTCTCCGCCTGACAGCCAATGCCTGTCGTTCTCTTCGATTTCCGACATTAATGTTATCTGTTCTGCTTGTATTCTTCTCGAACGGCTTTTATTCGACGATTATTCATGCGTCAGTGGATTTCGTAGAACGTACATGAAATGCAATTTGCGAAATATACGCTTAGGAACTTATTCAGGCGATTCCGCACTTTACTGATAATTCTTCTCTTTTTAATGTCACCCTGAAGTTTTACTTACCGTTCGACTTCAACAGAACTTTCGTCTTATCGTGAATATTAAGAAGTCGCGATATGTAATGATCTCGTAAGAAGAACCTGTCCCTAGAGTAGGTGATTTGTCAAACTTCCATGGAAATTCTTTCAAATTTCAGCTGTACATTGGTGAAAATACTATCTACGCGTTTGTAAAGTTAAAAAAACGACTGACTCGGAAGCTGATTCGAAAACTGAGATATTAAGGATGATACTTTTTATTACATGTTCCTTGAGGTATTTATGTTCTATTTTTATCTTTTATCCTTAATTTTTTCTAAACATTTAGGATCTTAATAAAAAAACTACTGTGATATCGAGGACCAACATACATTACACGTACAAAAATTTCAGAATTTTCAATCATTTGATTTCGAAAATACAGCCATAGGAAATTTACAATTCATATATGAAAAATATTGTTGTAAAAATCACTACAAAATTTTGTAACGCTGGAATTATTATCTAAATTATTATGTGTTCTCTCTAGTGTAATCTTAATGTGTAATCTTTAGTTACGTATGATACATGATAATGATGTTTATACGTCACAAGAGGTTACAACACACAATAATTACGATAATAATTCTGGTATATTCCAGTATTACGAATTTATGTAGTAATTCTCATTACAATATTTTTTCTGTATAATAACGTGGATATATGTACATAATTGAATATTTATATAACACTTTTTATTATGTGCGCATTTTTATTAGCTTCATCTGACGTATAAATAAAGCATTAAGAAAAATAAAAAAATAAATAATATCTCCGTCTTTGTAATATTATCTACATATTTATTTTAATCTTGCTCAAAATTTGTTAACATTTATTACTTAGATAGTTAAATAAAGTTATAGGAAAATTTCTTTTTTCAATAAATAATAAACTTATGAAGGGGCCTCTTATGTCGCCATTAAGAAACTCTGTAGGCCAATTAAAATACTTAGCAACTTAAAATACCACTCGTGGATTTTCAATATTCGCATAGAGAATCAACGAGTCGATAACCCTCGATTTGAAGTGATATCAGATTACACTTGAATTGTTTCCATAATCTTAGAGTGACACGTGGATCACTCGCGAACATTCCGTTTGCGGAGTAAGAGTAAAATGTTTTGCGCAATGTTGTACGCAAATGTCATTATCAACCAGCAGGGAAATCTCGTTTCCCAAGGACCGATAAGATTTCCCTCCTGGAGTAATTCAAGCGTATATTACTGAGACTATCCTTGTTATCTCTTTTTCACTGACCTGACGTCATCATGTCGTCGCGCGCATGGCATTCTTTTCCTCCTGCACAGGAACCAGTCGTGAGTGGCGACGTTCACGAGAAATACACGTGCTTTCTTACGTTCGACTGAATACGTAATAACCACGACTGCATTATCAGTAATACTAGTATCGGTATTCGCTTTATCGTGCACCTTTTTCCAACACGCAAATACCGAGAGGCAGGTGTGTATGGCGACGCGTGATTTGGCGTGATGGGAATTACAGCCCGCATTTTTTTTTTTCCGACGAGAGAGAGAGAAAGACGCGAAATATTTATCATAGTTTTGCAAAATAACACCTGTCGCGCGAGAAAGATGTCGAAATATTTACCAACGAGATTGGCAGCCATTGTCCATTCATACAGAAAAAAAGTATCATTCTACCGTTGGAAGGTAGCGATTACTCAGTTTACTTTCCTTCTTTTTAAGTAAAAGCATCTTTAGAAAAGAATATTTTCTTGATAATAGTCTTGAAGTAGTAGTACGCTTATCATAAATCTTATAAAAACTTTTCATCACGCACTCAAAGGAAGAATTTATTCTCCTTTCAAGTATATTATAAACCATGGACGGACCTTCTATGAGAAGATACTTATCTCCTGCTCTTTTATTATTATTATTATTAAGTATATTACAAACTTTACCGAGAATAGGGATATTCGATTAATTTGAAAAGCAAATTTACCTAACCGAAATATGTTTTAATTTAATATTGTCGACCAAAGTACTACACTTATTAAAATTCAGAATATGTTTTGAATAAATCTTATATGAAATATTTGCAGATATATAATTTTATGAAATAC